GCCTCTGGGGGCAGCTCGCTGCGGGACACCGGCCTCTGGGGGCAGCTGCTGTCCGCACTTACAGCAACACTTACGAACTGCGAAAACTACCGTGTTTGGTCCACCATAATCATACTGAACCGTATTTAATGGCGATGCAATAAAGGGGTGGTTCAGATGTGATGAAGTGAGGTTTATGTGGAAATCCAATAATGGTCAGTCAGGTCAGCTGGACAGTTTCTTTTTTGTGGAAAGACGTTTTGAGCGAAAGACGTTACTGCTTAATGGGGAAAACTGTTTATTTGGGACCCCTCAGACTGATGAAGCCCTCTGGATAGAGGGCGAAACATCTTTCCACACAAAAGAAACCATCCAGATGACCTGACTGACCATTACTGGATTTTGTACATGGATGATTGAGCATGAACTTTGATGTTTATGTGGAAAGTTTATGAACAACTGATATTTTACCTGTTGTTAAATAGTTCGTTGAACAAACTCAGTTTGGAGAATCAGCTCATCTTTCTGATCAAAATTTATCTAACAGGCGTCATCGACTGTGAGTCAAGTGTAAGATGATCACAGTTTAAAACTCTAGTAACAAATGCAGTATATAAAGTAAATGAGGTACAGTCTGCTTTTTGAAATCCCTCTTGTACAAAGTACACAGTACTTTCAACTGTTTTACATTGTTTTTTAAGTTCACTAACAAGTCTGATCAACCTGGATGATTGAGCTTTCAAACTTTGTTCTGAACCGTTTTGGCCACGTGTCCTCAGCACTGGTGGAGAAAGTACTCAAACACTGTACTTAAGTAAAAGTACAAATAAACAGACAAAAATGTACTCTAGTAAAAGTAGAACTACCACATTAACGTTTTTACTTAAGTAAGAGAGTTGCTGCAGATAATACATGTTTTTATTGTGTTTACTCTGTGACACAGTTCACACCTGGACTTGTGATTCTGTGCGTCAGAATTTCAGGGATGACCTGCAGAGTTAAATGTTATTAATCAAAATAAGAAAGAATCATGATTTTACCTTTGAAAGTTTTTATTTCACACAAAGTAAAACCAATGTATCATTTTAACTGCAGTAAACACATTGAAGTAAAAGTTGTCTGATGAAAAAAGGAGCATTAGACATAACTAACAAAGGAACAGACTCTGATCAGTTCAACTCCAGTTTGTCATCAACTCTAGTTAAAATATGTCTATTCAACCTTGTAATGGGTCAATATTGAACAATATTTTAACTTCCTGACACCATTTTTAAAACTTGGACCCGAGTGTCGAGTCATTTGGAGACATCTCTTGTCTCCTAACATCCCATGAACTGACTCATTTTATTGTTGCAGCAAGAATTTCTTGTTCAAGTTCAGAAGAAGTTGGTTTTCAAAGTTTTTTAAGTCCAGTCTGGCTCTTTTGGGAGAGAGAATCTGTCCTGCCGTACTGAATAGTATTTCAATAATCTTTCAATAGACTTTCAATAGTATTTCAATAGTCTTTCAATAGACTTTCAATAGTCTTTCAATAGTCTTTCAATAAGGCCATGGGTGGCACGTACTGCATCTTCTGGTTGACTTTCCTCTGTGGAATTCATTTTGGGTGTGTTAGCGGTGCTGTGGGTGTGCCCAGCTCAGTGATGTATATATACTAGAATACAGCTCTTCTTGAAGGTGGGTCTAACGTTACCTGCCCATTTTGCATTGATTCAATGAACTAACTCCCCTCTCGCCATTGGTTACCTTCAAATTAATGAATAAATAAAAAAGTTGCAACGTGAATGTAACTTGTAACACAACACATTATAGAAATGTAGTGTAGTAGAAAGTACAGATACTTAATGTAAAATGTAGTGGAGTAAAAGTAAAAAGTACCCATGTTTAACTCTACTTAAGTAAAGTACAGATCCACTAAAAGTGTACTTAAGTACAGTAACAAAGTACTTGTACTTAGTTACATCCCACCACTGGTCCTCAGGCTGTTTGAGATGGAGGAGGATGACTCGGTGTGGCGACCCCGAAGAGGGAAAAGCCGAAAGAAGCAGAAGTCCTCAGGCTGTTTCTGTGAGTATCAAGTTGGCCATCCAGCCTAAAACATTTGATTGTTATGTATGATTGATTGTTTTAGACGGATGGTCCCTTTGTGCACGTGTAAAGCTAGTTTCTGGAAATTCCACAGAGGGCTGGCTTGAAACACATCAAGGAGGTACTATTTATAAGACAGATCTGGGTTGGCAGGCCTCAGACTGCATCAAGTCTTTAGGATGAAAGACAGAATGTTTCTCCCAAAAATAAACCGTCCAAATGACCTGATTTAACATTTTTTTGTGATTTCTCTATCTGGATCATTGAACTTTCAAACCTTTGTTTGTCTCTGTGTTTTATTCTCCACCACTGCCTGCCAAAACCAATCTGAGGATCTCACAGTTTGATAATGAGTCTGTCATCAGACAGTCATTTGTAAAAACATGGTGAAGTAAAGTTTGTGATGTCAGAGGTCAAGAGAGGTAAATGTGAATCAGTTTGATTGTATGCTGAATGATAAGTGATGATTCATAAACATGAACAGTAAAAATGAATGCTTAATGTAGCGTGAATTATGCAAGTTAAATATAGGCGCAACGTTTGCCTTTGTTTGGTTCGTCACTAAAGCCAATGCACTTTTGACATCCTTACATCACCTGAAATGGTAGAGAAAAGGTTCAATGTTCTTTATTGTCATCATTCACATCACTTGTGGCACATGAGGTGGAACAAAGTTGTGTACCCAAGGTTCCAGTTACACCCAAAATAGCAAAAATATAAAGTATAAGAAAGAAACTGGGATGGAGCTCCTCACCCTATCTCTAAGGCGCAGCCACCTTACATAGGAAGTTCATTTGAGCTGCTTGTATTTGGGATCTTGTTCTTTCAGTTTCAGTCATGATCCGTGGAACATAGACAAACTAATAAATTGCAAGCTTTGCATTTCAACTCAGCTCTTTGTTCACCGTGACTGACCTAAGTAACACCCTCATTACTGCAGACAAGACCCTGATCAGTCAATCCATCTCCCGCTCCATCCTACCATCACTCATGAACAAGACTCACAGATACTTGAACTCCTCCACCTGAGGTAAAAAATAATTTCCAACTCAGAGAGATAATTACACCTGCTTCTGGTTGAGAACCATGGTGTCGAATTAAGAGGAGCTGACTCTCATCCTAGTCACTTCACCATCCCAGTGCATGCTCAAGGTCATGGCCTGAAGACACCAACATAACCACATAATCTGCAAAAAGCAGACGAGACCTCGAGGTTCCCAAACCAGACACCCTCCACTTTATGACTGTGCCTTGAGATCCTGTCCATGAACACCACAAACAGGATCAGAGGCAAGGGACAACCCTGGCAGAGTCCAACCCCACCCAAAACAAGCACTGCCTCGGACTGGGCCCACTTTCTCTTTGTGAGTAGCTAAATGCTAGGCAGATTGTCCTTTAGGCAAACTGAAAGACCTTCTCTGTGGCCTCTCCAAATTACTTCCATGCCCAAGTTTTTGCATTTGCAGCCACATAAGCCACAGTCCTTCTGACTATCCATGTCAGCAGCTTCAGCCTGAAAGGGCTTTTTCTTCAGTTTGATAGTCTTCATCACTACTGGTGATGTCTATGTCCTTTAACTGATGAACTGGCACCAATGACTTTAAGGTTCAAGGTTCTTTTTTGTCATTTGCATCACATGTGGTACATGAGATGGAATGAAATTGTGTGCTGAAGTCTTTACTTTAAGCCTTCGGGACTCAGCATCTGGAAGCCACATCTGCAATAGAGGTCCTGAACATAGCTCATTCAGATTCCAAGCCACAAGTCTTCCCCAGAACATGTGAAAAACACTCTGAGATGTGAAGTGAAGATTTTACGGACATGGGGGCTCCATCAGATATTTCAAGTTCACCTCACTTCTTATTTGTGTTTGCCAGGTCTGTCCAGAACCCTCCCCTTCCACAGGAGCTAAATCACCACCAGGCAGTGATCAATTGACAGCTCTGCCCCTCTCTTCTCTTGAGTTTCCAAGACACAGGGCTGCAAGTCTGATGATATGATTACACAATTAATCATTAACCTTTGGTCTAAGATAGGCTGGTACCAAGTACCAGTGCTCGAACATGGTGTTAGTTATGAACAGCTCATGCCTAACACATAAATCTAATAGCAAAACATTGCTCTGGTTCAGATCAGGGAGGTTGTTCTCCCAATCAACCCCTTTCAGACGATTCTGTTGTTGTCCATAAGGGCATTGAAGCCACCCAGGAGAATAGCAGAATCCCCAAACAGCATCCCTATCCAGGAAAACATCCAAAGCCTCTAAATTTGGGTAATCTGAAGTGCTGTTTGGTGCATAAACACAAACAATAGTGAAAACCCTCCCTCTTGCAGCTTGAAGCCTCAGAGAGACAACCTTATCATTCACTGTGGAAAACTCCAACACCAATGCATTCAGCTTGTAAGTATTCCAACGATCACCTCATGCCTCTATAACAACTCTATATGGTAAATGGTAAATGTACTGTACTTATATAACACCTTTCAATCTTATTTTAAGATACTCAAAGCTCTTTACACAACAATCTGTGCCCTCATTGACCCATTCATACAGCTCTATACTAGATCTCTACAAAGATAATTGAACAATTCATTCTAAACAGACTAATCAGAGCTTTAGATCACATTCATACACTAATGGGACACATCGGAGGCTATAAGGGTTCAGTGTCTTGCCCAGGGACACTTGGGCATGTGACTGCTGGTGGATTCGAACCCCCAACTCTTGCATTGAGGACGACTGCTCTAACCACTCAGCCACAGTCGCCCCATATGGCAACTCTAAACTCAAGCCCCTCTCTGGGAATTGGGTTCTTGTTGGTATTGTTCACCCTCACACA